TGAGCCGGAAGGGCTGGGAGACTGCCGGGGTGGAGGAGGTATGGGTGGTTGCTTGGTCGGGCTGTGGGGGGCGATTTATCGGTCGGCTGGTGGTGAGATGATGTATTCATTTCCTTTATCATTATTATCATTGGTGGTAGCAGTAGTGATTTGTGTTATACCTTAGTTACTAAACTGTTCTTCTCAACCCGTGAGAGTTGCATTCTTTTCGATTCTCCTCTCCGTCCCTCCGAGAGCAGGGGGAGGGCAAGAAAAGGGGGGGAAGTGAGCGAACGAATTACCTGACTGGGTTTAAACCACGACAAGGATGTTATATTTAATATCTGAGCAAGCTTCAGGAGGTGTTAAACTGAGAAGTAACAACAACTTGGGCAACACTACAGCTGTCCAAGTAAACCCTGGCTTTCCAAAAATTATTCTTGCCGTAAATATGCCAGTTTTCCTACAGAGTAGTACTCAGAGCATTGTCCACTGAGCACTTCAGAAATATGTCATGCTGAAAGTTTACTGAAATCTATTTAAAAATGCATCTCTACATGCTATCCAATTTCAGGGGTTTAGCTCTAAAGCAAAACTGAGCTCCTCAACCTTCTCTACTTGGCACCCCATCTTTGTGAGGGTGCTGCGTATGGTAATTTCTCCCTGCATTTCTGACTAAGTCACAATGTCTTCTGCCAGTTTTAACAGCAACAATGAGAAATATGATAAAACTGGAGTCATAGCAAGGTTATTCTGTTGCTGACTTGGTAAGCCCTAACAGCTGCACAGACACATCCTTGAGAGCTATTTGTGGGGGAGAAAGACCTCAAAATTGGAAACCATGGAAGGAACAGAATGCCAGAAATCCCATCCCATCCAAGAGAGTGAAGAGACCAGGAGGGACGAAATAAAAATAAATCCTTAATCTTTAGTTGTAATAGCTGAAGGCTATTCAAAGCAGAGCTAAGTGTTATTCTGCTCTTCCAACAATCCAAAAGAAAAAACAGGGATGAAAGAAGTCTGATTTTCAGACATCTGTTAGCCCTGAACTGATATACAAGAAGCCATGTCTCCAACAAAAAAGAAACAAGTATGTTTCTTCTTCTGAGTACTTCTCAGCATATCAAAGAAACCTAAATGTCATTCTAGCACATTATGCCATGATTTCATGAGGGAAGAACCAAGCCTGTTTTTCACTGTGGTTTCTACTAAATTATATCTAGGCACAGATGAGGGGGACTAAAGAGAGGGAAGAAGACAGCTATCAGAACAATGCTCTTCTAGTCTCAAGCTAACAAAAGCAGGGCGGGGTTTTTAGTTGGGTTTCATTTTGGGGTTTGGGTGGATTGTTTTACAACCATAGCCAGGCAAGCAATTGAAAATCTCAAGCCTGTGGATAAATTTTAACCTACCAAAACTTTAAAATTTAGACTCAACTGATCTAAGACAAGTGTAATCATAGAATCATAGAATAGTTAAGGTTGGAAAGGACCTGCACTGTGTTCTCTGATATGTCTGGCATATTCCTTAATAGTTTAGCCATTAATATCCCAAAACTGTTCCACCATTTATTTGTATGCAGTAATTCAGAATCAGAACTTTATTTTGCACCTGCCTACATAAATCAAAGACTAGCAGCTACATTCAGAGAACACAACACTCAGACTACTTCGACACCTGCCATATTACAGGATTTCACAAGTACTAGAAAACTGGCTATGGTCTAGGACATAATACATTTCACACCTCAAACGAATGGTAATAAGTAACCAAATACTGAATGGTAAAATAAACAACAGTTTAGTTTAGTCAAATCACTGCAATTTCATTTTATTTGCAATTTAAATGTAGCTACTTAAAACATTTTCCAGATCGCAGCCTGTCCCCCAGGAATGTCTGTCTACCAAAAGAAGAAATATCGTATTCCAATCACTTTTCCACCAACACTTAATCGCATTTTAAAGAAATCTCCTGTTGGTAAGAATGGTGCATGTCCTACAGCCAACTTTTGCATTTAACTGAAGTCCTAACACAGTATTTTTCACCCACTGTAGGACTGCAGTTTTGACTACAAAAGCATTTGAGGCTCATTTCACTTTCAAGCTTCATACTCTGAAGATCAACAGGAATATTACATTGTTTCAATCAAATCAGACAGGGTGAAGCGACTTAAGAACAATGCCAAAAAATCATCTGAAGGTGCCTTAACTGAAACTCTCTTATCTCCATCAGAGTCCAATCGCTTTGACAGTACCTTTCAATACATTCAGCAATTTTTCACACCACTTTCTACACAACTGTACCTATGGAGCAACCACAAATTAGATTATAATGTTACAAGCAGTATTTAAGCAGAGCAGGAACAGTACCTGTATCTGTAAATAAGATGTTTACAGATAACCAGAGATCAGAGCAAAAAGGAAAAAAAGAAATCATCCTGAACAGTGTAATGACAGTCAGTCAGTGTCATGTTTTGGTGGGAAGAGGATTAAGATAAATGAAAAAATAAAGGAAAGGATGCTACTGGGAGAGCAAGGAAGGGCAGATAAGTCAGAGGAGGTAGTTGTGAAAAGGAGCTGGCAGAAGAAGTAGCTGTGAATAGGAGATGAAGGGACTAAGACTGCCAACACAAACCAGACTGTACAAGGAAGGGAAGTCAGAAGCAGAAACGTCTCTCTGTCCCAAGACCCTTATCTAGCTACCCCTCAGCCACAATTTCACTGTGGGTACTTGAAAATTAAAAGATGTATTGGAAATACTTTAAAGAGTCACCGAAAAAATCAGAAAGAATGTGGGGAGGGAGCTTTAGTACAAGCGTGGGTGTCATTTGCTAACAGACACCACCCCAGTTTTTAGTTAAGTTCCCATGCAGTTTTCCAGGTAGCACACAACTGTTTTTCTAGTCTATCTTACTGCAGTCTGAGAGGCAATAAAACCCCCATGTTTGCTTGGCGTTTTTAAAATACATTACTCAGCATATTCAATGAAGGAGTTCACATGTTAAAGGAAGGCCTCTTTTAAAAACAGACAGGAAAACAAATCCTGTCTATCCTGAGACAGCAGTCTTCCTAGAAACCTAAAAATACTAATTCCAACAACAGCTTGCTTTTTTAAGCCTTCTCCTTACTACAAGGCGGCCATATGGAAGTACTTATGAAAAGGTTTTCTTTCCCTTCTTCAAGATTTCTATGGGATAAACAACAAAACTAACAGTCCTTTCATATAAACCCAATTAACAGTAGACCAATTAGTTTCAGGGTCACTGACATCACACCAAAAGCAGAGATAAGAAGAAAGAACACTTGAAAGACGTTTGGCATCATGCATTATACAGACATGGCACTACAACTTGTTAACAGTGAATGAAATGACAAGGGCACTGCAAGAAAAAACTCCACGGGGTTGATGCTAAATACAAACTTAATATGAATGGTAATTGAACAGTAAAAAGCAACATGAGCTCTGTGCACTTCAGAAACTAAATGTGAAAGCCCAAAGAGAAAGATGAAGGCTTTGTTTCAATTCAGAAATCTTCATTCTAGAAACAGTTTGGGAGCAGGGAAACACAATAGATAGGACATGATGGGACACAGATAGGTAAATGGAAAGGAAACAGTCAATTATAGCAGGTAAATATGAGGATCTACAGCTTTCAGAACTTTAGCAGAATACAAAGCTTATCAGAATGACTCTTAAGGCAGGTTTACTACTTAAGGAGACAGAGCAACAGGCACCGAGTGCATTCAAAACAAACCTTAGAGGTGTAAAGATTTCAAGCCTCTAGAAATAACTTGTGAAGCAACAGTTAACCCACCTACCCCAAATTAGACTGCTAAGGCTTAAAACTGTGCAAAAGCAAATGTCATTTTAATATATATATGTATGATAATTTCTATTTGTGTATATCTTACAAATATGTATTTTACAATACATATTTAAAGGATGTGATAGAGATAATACTGGTTTTTTACTTTTTTAATGAACATATATATTGAAGATTCTTTTTTAATTTTAAATCAGAAGAAAAAAATAAAAATAAAAGGAAACATCCTAACAACCCACTGCACACTGCATTTGCCTGTACTATGTATATACTCCTGTAATAACAGTGAGAGCAAAGTGCTAGCTGTATTCAAAGCTGCTGCTGATCAGAAAAAGGCACAAAGGGTAATAAAAGCACGTTAGAATAGATACAGGCATCAATAAAGAAAAGTATACAAAGCATTTCATATGACTTTTGTACATAACTGACGTTTTTCATAAATTCAAAATGGCATTCCTTCATGTAACATCCTACGTTCACATTCGCACACCAAAAAGACTTTGTAAGATCATTCAAAGAGGAAAGTACTTACAAGAGAAAATTAAGGCAAGATGTACTTTTTCCGCAAGTAATCTTTAAATAAAACAATTGTGCACGATATACACAAACAGATGTGTGATTCCTACTTGGAGAGACAAATGCAAAGTAAAATCATGTACACTTGGCACCGATTAAAACAACACCCTTCAGTCAGGATATTCGTGCATCCCTATAGGCACGCCACAGATAAAATATGCTTCCCCAGTCTTTTCATTCGATTCTAGGGAAAAAGCTTAGGGTGAAATGTCCTGATCAATCAATTTCCGTGACTGATTGTTCACTGCACATTTGAAATGGTAAAGTGGTTAGAAAAGCTTTAAAAAAATATAATGGAAGCCTTCAATTTTCAAGGCACTTTCATATGGAGTTGAATTATTACAAAAAGCCTCAGGATGAAACGGATTTTTCTGGAAAAGGTGTTCTTACAAGAGGTGCCAACAGTAGTAACTTACATGCTGCTAAAGGTAACTCATATACAAAAAACATCATGAAATGAAATAAAATACATCTCACAAACACACACGCTGTGGAAAGGAGGATTATGACATTTAAATACACTGAAGATTTTAGAGCGCATTTCTCTTATAGTGGATAGTTTACTTTTATTATTATTGTCTAACATCTAAGCATTTTGATAAAGTCTTACATTCATACTCACCTGATTCATTTTGAATTCCTGTTGTGTTCTGAAAAGACACACACAACAAAGAAACTCCTTTGATTACATGAGCCCTAAAAAGAAAAACAGACAATTGTAACATGTACCTACCTACAAATGTACAGTGAAAGCACATACAGACCTGGAGGATCCCTTCCTAAAGGTGCAGGGATCCCTTTGTCACAAAGGTGCATATTGCTTTATGAGAAGAATAAAATCTGCTCCAAGCTATGGATTTGTTGTTATAGCTCAAATGAACATGAATAATCTCAAGATTATTATCTCCCATTAATCTTTCTTCCAGTTTTAAATGATGCAGCAACAGAAATGTGCTCCTCTGATTGTTTCATCTGTTTTTAAACATAAGGGAGCTTGGTCAAGATTAAGTACCTTTAAGAACTTTAGGGGAGCAGAATTTAGTATCAAAGCATTATTAAACACCTTTAATGGATTTTGAATTAACAGAATGTATGCATTTGAGTCTCCAAGCTCTCGTATTAGAAACAGGAAATTCTTGCTTAAAATTAAGCCTTTTATTGAGGTATTTTGTTACATTAATGCATTTGGCATTCTTGTTTAGCAGAATGCCTGAGATTTCATAAGGTTTCCTAGATGAAGTAAGCATCAAATTTGAAACCCCAGGACTCAATGTAAAACTAATCAGAACAATGCTGTACCTAAAAGTCCAGTACATCAACCCACTTCCTTCACTTTAGGGTTTTTTTTTAATACCTACATAAAAGCATTATTGCGAGTGCCGGAAACCCCATCCTTCCCAGGGACACACAGAATTTTCAATACAGGAACAACCCCCTGTTTTGGATGTTAACTCGTACCTAATCACTTAAAGCACTTCATTGAAGTACTGCTATTTATTCCTCGTCTTCAGTAACAACAATTAACTGATTCTTCACCAAGTGCTTTGTATAAATACTAACATTTAACTTAAAATACATTCCAGGAAAACATACTCCAGAAATACATACTCCGAATAAATTTCATATAATCCTTCACATCTTTGCACTGTAAGAATTCTTACTGCTGCATAACAATGCCATACGTCTTAGAAACATTACATTAAGAAATTCCTCAGAAAAGGAAAAAACTCCTTGAAAAGGGTATTTCAGTTGTATACAGCTCTTCCAAGATTAACTCCCTTTTGCCCCGATATTTCCATATTGCATGAGCATTTACACAAAAAGCCAAAACATCTGTATTTCAGTTCCACTTTTGCAGCTGGTTCAGTGGGCTTTACAGTATGCCAGCAAAGTCCAGTTGCTGGATAAAACAGCTCCATCTGAACAGCTTTTAAACATCTGAAGGAAATCAATTCCTAGGAATAAGACATCCCAAGCATTTGATCTTCTAAGATTTTCTCTATTACTGAGAACATAGCCTACACCAAAGTACAAGAAGTAAGGAAGGCTCTACAGGTTTCATTACTAATCACAGTCACTTATGAGACAGTTAAATCTTGCCTTGACAAAAACTTCTGTACTTGAGATGAGGCCTGAATAACAGAGAAAAATCCAGTGCTCCTACTCATTGTTCACTGGGACAATACCCACACAGTGTCAATTTATAAATGAAATATTTTGGATAGCAGAAGACGCATCAAAACATTTTCTGGTGGGAAAAACAACTTTTTAGTAGCAAATGTCTTGGTTTGCTATACTTGGCTACAAAACAAAAAATGATTACTCACCTAAAGACAACGAAAGCAAGAGCTTTTTGTTGATGCTATTTTACAGCCCAGCCTGATGGGTGTAGCTGCCAGTTTACTATGGCTGTAGCTGCCAGTTTAAGTGGTTATTGTCTCCAGGTGCCTTTTGTACCTTTACTCCTCCCTCACAGTGAGGATTATTAGTCCCTCAATGACAAGAGATTAACTGTTCACATAACCATTTGCTGTTACAGTTCTGGAAGGTGATTTAGAATAACAGAATCATAGAATGGTTTGGGTTGGAAAGGACCTTAAGATCATCCAGTGCCAACCCTCATCCCAGATCATGTTGCCCAAGGCTCTGCCAACCTGGCCTTGAACACTGGAAAAACACTCGAAAACCTCCTGGAGGAAGCACACGTATGCTACATGATGGTAAATGACAGTCATCTTAAGTACACACATCATTTTCAACACTGAGTAAAAGAGGAAGACATTTAACCCATAACTCTTCAATACCATTGCTACTCAGCCACTAAACATAAAGAATTTGGGTCACAACCAGCAAATATCAATTAAGTGATAGGCTGAAGGGCTCAATGCTAAAACGCTGTTGTGCTGAAAGCTTCCTTTCTCACCAAGTTAAGCAAATTAGTCAAAGACTTGAAAAGCAGTCAAAACTTTTCTGTTTCATATGAGCAGTAAGAATACACTTTTCTTGTATTTCATAGACTAACTCAACATTATTTTGCTACGAATTAATACTGTTTTCAAAGAGGGTTGTTTTTTTTTTCAAAAAAAAATCCTACCATTTTTACAAATTTTATAAAGGCTTTATTCAGCTTTAATAGAACTGGTTATAGTCAAACATCTCAATAGCATTTCTTAGAAGATTACATCAAATCTTAACATCCTGATGTATTTAAACATCCACATAATACAATTTAGGTAATTACTGTACTATTCTATACACTTGCAGCTACAAGTTAGTAGAGGAACCAGCTGACCATAAAATAACAATTAAATGATAAATTAAGCTACAGTAAAGCAAAAGCTTCAACAAGTATTTATATTGCTATTAATTTAAAATACACTTATACCTGCAGTATACTGACAAGTTCATATATGAGCTCTGTAACTGAAAAAGAGACTAAAAATATTTCCCCATTTCTTCCTTCCTCTGTTATCTACTTCATTAACAATGAACTCAACGATGTGGAAAACAAGATTAACTGCACTGGGGGAAAAAAAACCCAGAACTTAAGAGTTCTTGCAGCCTTACGTATAATCGCTAGTTTTCTTGCCATCTAAATGAAAGATGACAGAGGAAGACAAAGTATATGTAACATTAAACTTGCACTTTAACTTCTAGTACAAAATTAAAAAAAAAAACCAAGAAAATATGAAACAAATATAAAAAAAAAAAGAAACTGCTATACAAATATTAGTGCACCTATGATCAATAACTACCAACAATGTACATCCTCTTGTCTCTGCAAGCAGAAACAAGCTTTCATTTCATAAGCTAATGACTTTTTAGCTACAGAGACAAGTCTTATTGAAGATCTTCCAGGAAAGCCCCAAAGAAAATGTTACTGCTCTGACTTGTTAGCCAGAGAAATATGATATATGAAGTTTAAAGAAGTGATGATGACCACATTAGATCATTTTTAAAGGTAGCAATAGCCTACAACTGTGTTAGTACTCTGGAAAAACTCACATCAGCAACTCCATCAGAGGTAACAAATGGTTCGATTCAACCTTTCCTCCTAACTCAGCAGTAACATTTATCTGCATCTGAGAGTGAAATACCTGAATATTGTTAGTAACATCTACCACAGTAAACTCCAAAGATTCACTAAGTACCTAAGAAAAACTAAATAAAGGTTCTATGCCAAAAATGAAGCACATTATGAGTACAGGAACTTGAATTTTTAATATTCATTTCCAGAAAACACAGCAAAGTCGCATTCATTTCAAACCACTACCTACTATTTTATCTCATGAGTACAAAAATACTATACTCTTTCTCAAGGCATTAAAGCATCTGGGAAACAAACACAAAAGAAAAAAGACCTACTGCATCATATAATCTTAAGAGTGTCAGAAAAATGTATTTAGAGGCACTGTTAAGCAACAGATTATATTTCTTTAGAGAAGAAAATACAAGGCATTTGTGTTTAAGGAAATACTGTGGTCACAGTAAAACAAAATGCTTGAAACAAAAAAAAAACATTTTAACCTTAGTTCTGAATTCTACACTTCAGAATTCTTAAATATTCCCTTACAAAGAAACAAAGACACCTGCTGGGAATACAGGCTGCAAACAAAAGCAAGCAGTTGTATACAAAGCTAACACTACAGATCATCTTTTTCAAACTAAATCCGATGGTACTTCTAGGTTTCACCTTCTGATTTTATAAACCACATTTATAATTTCTATAGGTGCCTTTTTAAAAAAATAAAAAATCTCAGAATCAAAAAGCACTTTGAATGAGAACTGGAATTGCTGCTTCCAGTTCAGAAAAAAAGAAAAAACAGACATAAGAGCATCAACACTCTTTTGGAAGCTGAAAATGGGACATGCATTATGTCACTGCTCCAGTAAAAACAAGTTCATTATAGAACCAGGAACAAAACTTGAAAGTCTCAACAGTGCTCTCTTAATGACCAGGGGCTCAGGCTGGGACACAGCAGGGCTCTTTTAGTTTTTAGTTGAACAGATCATTTTTTGGTTTTATTTTAACATCAGGGCACTTACATTTTTCCAATTCAATGGTATGCCGGTAATAGAGTATTTTGCTCTAATCCACAATTTTCAATGTATTTGGTGAAATAAAGTTTGCAAAAAAAAAAAAATAAAGTTCATGTTAACTCTTAAAGATTAACATATGCTTTTGATAGAAATGAAAGCACTATCTGTGGGCATTTAACTGCAAAACATGGTCAGTTATTCAAGACTGCCAGAATAAGGAGAAAAAAATGGGCAAACAACGATTTTCTGAACACAAAAATCTACCACCTATTGTCCATTAGGAAAAAAGCTTTGCTTACTTCTATGTAACCAAATAAACTGCTATACCATAGGAAGGTTTATTCAGATAACTGAGAAAATAAGCCAAGAAATCACAAACACAAAAACTTGACTTTATTAAACAGCAACTAGTCAAGAGAAGTCAGCAGAAAACAGGAAGTCTCCAAGAGCTGCAAATATAGAAAAATACCACTCCAATCTTCAGACCTAAATACACTTTTAATTCTACTTCCTAACAGTAAATTCAAATGAAATTGAATTTACAATTCAATTTACCAGACAAGTACATTGCTGATTTGCTACTATGTGAAAACATCCATTTCTGTCATTCATTTTTACAATACAGGACTGAGCCACCCACTTTTGTCTACAGGCATGTTTTTATAGAGAGACAAAAAAGAAGTATTTTTTTTTCAGAATACTGCCACAGAAAAAAAACACACTGGTACAGATAAATATGCTAACAAGTATAACAGCAAATATATTGCACTTCAAAAAGGTGTGCCAATGCAGATATCCGGCCCATGAGTTTATGAACCCCGGCTGTTTACAAATCCCTGATAAAAACCATACAAGTAGCAGTCTCTCATCTCACCAGTAACAAAGTGACTCACAGTGATCAAGGTACTGCACTATTCCCATAAGCTTATTTTTGCTTTTGTTTTCTGGTTCAGAGCTCCAGTCGAAGGTCTTGCAGGCGCACTGCAAATAAACTATCAACTGGATACTAACTGGAAAAAACATTACCACAGCGGTCACCTCTAAATCACTCTGAACTTCTGTTTTCAACAGACAGACATCCAGTAAGCAACAATATTCAGACCTCTTTTTTATATGCTCCTACTTGTTTACCCCTAAGGATCAAGCCTTTTATGTAAAAGAGTGGAATGAGGACATCACTGCACTGGAGATCGACTGCAAGAGCCATTTTAGTTTTTACAGAAAAACAGTAGCTCACTTTGACTTTCTGCTTTACTTCCATTTTCCAACAAATGCTCATGTAGAAAAATAAGGCTAGATTATACAAATGTACGTAAGTATTTCAACATCCTTCCCCCCTCTTCCATGCTACTCCGGAAAAAGGCTATTCTTCAGATCCTCATACCTACACTAAACAGGGATCAGCTCAGGAATCTCTAAACACCACACTCATCGGGACATTTCTACCCATGACATTTTATCCAAAGTGATGATCTGCCTTTTATTTAGCATTAGTAGGGTTACACTACAAGTGAAATTTAACCTCATTTTTATGCTTTAATCCATGGGCTCTTCACACTTCTGCCCTATCAAATCCTGGGAGCTAGATGCTTGAAGACCATCATGAACATGGTTCTCACTGCTGTCCCTACAAATCCAGTATTTCTTCTGGACTTAAAAGTCACTGTATCAATGATGCAGTTCTTTATCTGGAGAGTACCAATGCTCACATGGATCATCATCATATGTTTTAACACCTGAAGGCCTCTCTATACCAAGGAAAGCATAACTGAATCCTTAACACACACGTGATTTTCATTAAAACATGGCAAGTGTCTTCAGCCAACACAATAATTGCATACCACACTGCTGTGCATCTCCAGTTCTCCTGATCTACTTCATATGTGTGAATAAACTGAAAAAGACTTTGCATCCAAATAACATGCCCAAAGTCAAGAGCTTGGACTGGGAACAGCAAACTGAAGCAGCATCAGGAACACAACCAGTCCTGCTCTCAAGAGCTGTCCACTGTTGATTACTCAAATGTAAAACAAGAGAAGGATTTATACTGGCACTGAACAATCAGATATCAGGTGCAACCACAAAACCTCCCCTTCCTTCTGCAATGGCTGAAAGCAATTTAAAGTTTTCTTTACCATTTCACAATGGAAATGTTGCAGCTTCATGTGAATTTGAAACCACTGGAAATTTCACTGCAGGCTTCAGCCACCTACTCCTGAGACAGTTACCAGCAAAACTTCACTTACTGCTCTGGCTTCAAGTAGAAAACCTACTTGAAGATACTTCCCTTGATCTGTCCTAAACTTTCTCTCTCACCCCAGCCACAAAATCATAGAATCACAGAATGGCTTAGGTTGGAAAAGACCTTAAGATCATCTAGTTCCAAACCCGTGCCCTGGGCAGGAACATTCTTCCCCATGGTACTACTGCACCATCATGAAGAAATAAACCTCTGCTTTATGCGACATGTCCTAGGAAAGACATTTCCAGTTAGAAAATCAATCCTGAAATCCATTTCCCCAGGCCCCTCTCACGCAGTCTGGCAGACCCTTGACCTGCAGCGAGCTTTAAGGCATGTGAATTGCCAGAAGTTTTGAAGACGGTGTGTATTGCAACTATTGGGAAGACAACTGTTGTCTCGCAGCGTCGGGCTGGCAGCGGTTATGGAGCTCTGCTTCGCCAGCTGACACCTCCGAGGCAGCGATTTCAAGGAAAAAACATGGAATAACAGCCCAAGGGATGGAGCGCCTTCTCCCCAGTGGCCTCTGCCGCCATCCCCCTCCTCTCGTTCTCTCCCCGGACCCCCGCTCTCCATCAGGCTCTCCCATAGAACTCAAGTCCCTCGGTCTCTCCTCGCACTTGCAGGAGCCGCCCCCACCTTCCCCCGGATCCCCCCCGGGGCGGCTCCACCTCCCCGAAGGAGGCTCCGCCGCGGGGCCGCCGCCGTCGCCGCGGTCCCCTCCTCCCGCGCCGGGCCGGGCCCCTCTCAGCCGCGCCCCCGGCGCCGCGCGGCTGGCTCTGCCCACCGCCCTAACGGCCCGGCCCGCCCTGCGGCGCGGCGGCGCCCGGGGGCAGCACCGCGACTCCCGCCGCCTCCTTCTCACCTGCGCCGCTGCCGCCGCCTGCGGCCCGGCTCGGAGCGGCGCGGAGCGGCCTCAGCTCCGGCACCGTTCGGGCGCCATTTTGTCTCCAGCCTCGGAAGTGACGTTGGGGGGAGGCCAGCGGGCAGGTCCCCCCGCCGCGGGACCCCCTCCCGCCCGCTGCCCCGAGCCGCTGCTGCGGGGTTCGTCCAGACCCCCTCAGCTCATCCGGCTGCCTCCGGCCACCACCCTCATCCCAGACCTTAAGCTGTGGAGAAGAGCAGATTCTTTTCCCCTATTTTTGGTTTCGCGTCTGTTTTTTTTCTTCTCATACTAACGCAGCTCTGCAGGGAGGTGGTTTTCTCGCCGCTGCCTGAAAACGAGGTGTCTGAGGGGAAACGGTTTGAATAACGAGGTGCTGTGGGGAGGGATGCTCACCCCCGAGAAGGTGCGGGCGGTTTCTCTGGGCCAGCGCTCCGCCACAGGCCAAGACCTGTTTGCCTCACAGATTTGGTGCTGTCCTACATAAACCCTATCTTTCTCACTCTCATTTCTGAGCAAGTACCTGAAGAGAAAAAAACAACCCATAGTCACCTCCTGGGAGACGTTCGTATGTGTACTGCAGGAATAAGAATGTCTCTTTAATTTGGAGAGCAGAATACCTGTTATTTAAATTCTGTATTCATAATACTGCCAAAAAAGATGTAATCCTCCTTGGCTAGGGCTGTTTTTTTACAATGAAATGTGAAGAATTTGACCTTTTTTCCAGAGGAAAAGCCCCTGACTTAAACAAGTAGGAGATGGGAGGCACTGGTACAGTTACAGATTAGAAACTGAAAGCTCAGAAGTGTTTTACATGGCTTTGTTTTCATATTCAGTGTGAAACTGACAGGAAACTTGGCAGTAAGCCTGGACAAAGGACTCATACTGTACCAGGATGGAGAAATCCCATTGCATGAGCTAGAAGGCTTCTTTAACAAGTAGCCAAGTGAGTCCCCTGGCTACTCCTCCCTCTTGTCAAACTGAAGTATTTTTTAAAATCCACCGTATTTCGAACAAAAATAGCTACAATGACAACATTTCAGGCATCAGGAAGATGCATACTCTGAAGCCAGAGAATCTGAATGCCTGTGTGGCAGCAGGCTGAAAAATAACAGGACACAGTGATCTTCCCACCTCGAATACTCAGGATGTGTTTAAATTTTAAAACATTGCTTAGATATACCAGAATCAGTTTTAAACCTTCTGATTTTAATAGCAGCAATTTTCATATAAGCATGTTTAAATTAGCTTATTAGGCTAAATTAGTTTTAATTTAGCTGTATTAACATTTAATTTTATAAGTGAGCCTGACTAATTACACCTGGGTTAAGTTTGGAAATAATTGTAAGAAAAGAAAAGCCAAGACTCTTATTTCTCTTATTTGACATGTTAGAGCCTTAGAGAAAACAAAACCAAGAACACAGCATGTACCACATCAGTTAGAGTATGAACCTTTCTACCCTCAAAATGAAGTGTAAAGTTTGCCAGTAGTATCACAAGCAACACAAGTTGTAATTTTCTTTTACTTAGCATGTTTATAGCACCAGGAAAAGCTTCCAAAAGAGCTCAAACCTCCTCTTTCGAAAAAATACCTTCATCCATTAACTTCCTACTTCTCCTCCTCCCCCCCGCCCCGTGTTCTAGAAACAGTGCTATTGAGATCTTAAGTGAGGCAAGGTACATACCAACTTGCAGCGCTAATGACAAGAGTACACTGGTACTCTTACCATCTGCTTTGAGCTTCCTCACTTTATTTTGCTTGTCTAACCTGACTGTCACAATATTAATGTTTACTCGCTCATTTAAGGATGAAAGAAGTAAAGGCTTTTGCTCAAGGGCTGATGCTACCTTTCTGTTTCTCCCTTATCGAAGCTTTATTGGTTCTTCAAGATCTTAATTTGAAGGCTCACCCTGCTACTGATTGGAGGATGGCCCTTAAAAAGACATGGTGGAAGGGCAAAGAAATTCAAGGCTGAAAACTAGGGCATGGAGGTGAAGTTGTTTTCAGTGAGTCTGGTTATGTTTTGGTTTTTCTTTTCCTGTTGGTTTTCTTTGGCTTTTTGTACAGATGTCATACAGCTGAATTTGTTTTCTTGCCTTAATTACATATTTTTAAATTTTTTTTTTTATGTTTGCTTTTTCTTAATCAACTTTCCAGTGAATGGAGCTTAAACCTTAAATTATTTCTACTTGCTCCAAAGTATAATTTTTTTTTCTTATTATGTAGAAATATAGTCCTAAACCAATACGATACTTTCTATACCTGCATATTGTTTATGAAGACTGCCTAACTCCATGTTGCTTCTAACACTTCCTAGTTATTTTACTAACTTTACCCAAAAGAGGGTAAACAAGAGGCAATAAAGCTGTTTCTTGAATCCTGTATTGTTTGTGCAGTGACTTGTAATGTATTAAATACTAAAATCATCTTCACAAATGTCTGCTGCCTTTTGAGGCACAAGAATAGAGAGTCACGTGGTACCCACAAACACAAGCTTCTACTTTATCTGTGGAAGCAGGCTTCAAGATCTGGAGAAACTTGGGGGATACTTTGTCAGCTCAGTTTTACATCTATTGAACTAAAGAGATTCCAGTTACTCTAGCTTAGGGGCCTCACTGGGGGTTGTTTCTCGGCTGGTATATTTCTGGTTTATCCCATCGCTTTCGCTCTAAGCAGCTGTGCTTTGCTGAAGTGTTAATCGATGCTAGAGTTTTCCATCTAGCTGTCACTTTACCAAGTTCTGTATATCTAATTTACATGCTTTGAGTGTGAGTAAAATACCTCTGTACCTTCAGTACTTTTTGCATATGCTTCTAATATAGGAAGACCCATAATCCTGTAATCAAGTGTATTTTTGTTTTCTCATTGATTGTCCAAGTTCCAAACCATTTACACGTTTCTGTGCTGCTGTGATTCAGTTAATATATAGCTTTAAAAGTGAAAGATGGACCAGAAAGACACCAGTATTTAACACCCTTTCTTTTAAAGTAATGCAGTAGCTCTGTGAGGTAGTTGAATCTGGCATATGTCTTCGTGATTAAAAATATTTCTTCAATATCTGTTGTTTTTCATATATAGAGTGTTATGTGTTATTTCAATGCTTCACTTAAAGCACTACCAAATGGAAAACATGGATGAGATTCATTCCTATGTTGCTGTAAGGTATTATTAACAGTTGAGAGGAAATTTTGAGGACCTGTGTAGTATGGACAGCATGTTTTTAAAGCAATGGCAGGCTCCAGCATGGCAGAATTTTTCTCAAAGTTTGAGGCTGCATTTCTTTCTGGAAATCATTAGTGTTTCTTTCACCTGTGATAACCAAAGTACTGACACAAATGGATTTGTATTTCAGGAGTGTCGTTGTATGCTTATTTGCAAAAGGTGAAAAAGGATGTAGAAAAGCAAGATAATGTTTTCTGTCTAGCCTGAGATTAATATTGCTAGTTTAGAGTCATTAAATAACAGAAACATTAATATTTTAGTGTGTTGCACTTGATGTAGAGGAGGTCTGTGTATGAGTCCTAGGGCTCTCAGGCTGCTCTTTTAAATTATAAATGTCTCTACAAAGCTTACTGCAACATGCTACCCTCCCAGAGTGAGAAATGGTACAGCAGGCCAACCATTCCTTGTTTTCAGAGCTGTCCAAAACCAGGGAGGTTAACAGACTGGCAGCATTAAAAAAGCAGGTGACAGATTTTGGCTGGCTGTCAGGGAAACATGAAGGAAACATATATTTTTCCAATAAAAATACAGCTTCCAATATCAACCTTGTCTCAAACTCTCTTGTACTATACCTCAGTTGCTTCCTTGTGGTATTCTTTGCTTGTATTCAGGCACATCTGTGACTGTTAATCCTGTTTTTCCAGATCTTGTCACTCAGTCATACTGAACAGAGCAAGCTGTTCTGTTGGCATAGTCTGTGCTGGTTTTTTGTTCCTTTTTGCTCTGTTTATTGCCTGATAGCACCTCTTGGTTTTCTTTGCCTGGAAGGTTTTGCTTTTGTTGATTGTAGTGTAGTCATTTATTTGTGCTTGAAATTCAGCTACATCTGGCTATGGGTGTACAAGTCATCTTTATTTTCTCTGCCACCTGATGGTGTTCAGTTGACTTGTAATTCTGTTTACACTGTTTCTGGTGGTCAGAGAAGCCTACAAGTCTTTAGCTGAAGATCTGAACACTTAAGCTTTCTATATTGTGAAAATATCAGTATTGTTGCTGTTGTGCTGTCTAAATTTATGAATTGGCTTTTCAGGTTGCCTGGGTGTGCATAAGCACAGACACGTATCAGTCAGCCCACAGTAGAGACAAATACTAGCGAAAACTTGTAAATCTGGATATCAGACTCAACATATTCATAATGACTGAAAAAGTGACTCTTACTGCTTAGACAAGGAAATTCTTGTGTGTGGAAGCCCTAGTGAGCCATGGAAGGAAAAAATGCTTCTAGATTTTTCTCATGAGAGTCTAAAGCAGCCTTGAAACCAGACAGCCCTAAGTGATACCAGTATGGCCAGTTGCTGTCATGTTAATGGGAACAAGGTCTCTATTATCAAGTTTCTCTGCCATTCTAGTTTGTCCTTAAAAACAGGAGACAGTGTGCTACATGTTACGGCTTAAACTAATAGTTTCTCTGGGAGAGACTGGCACAGTTGAACTGCTGGGGTTACTGGTCATTTAATAGCTCTGAATTTTAGGAAAAAAATAAAAGGTAATATTACTTAAAGAGCTTTTTACAGGTAAAACAAAGAATTGGCTGAACTACTAAGATATTTACTTAGCTTGTGCTTGAGATGTCCTGGGGAATGAGACTCTTAAAACTCAAGCACTTAAGTATTCCTACTGCTTTGCTTCATTCTTGTTTATGTTATTCTTTCTGACTTAGGTGCAAAGTCCTTCAGAGTCTTGGATTTCTGCAGCCTGGGGAATTTGTACCAGTAGCACAAAGCACTGTCCAAGCTTACCATTTGAGTTTTCCACTAGTCACAGATGTCTCATGGTTTGCTTGTCATTCTTGTCAGAGTTCATTGCTTGCCAGTGATACTGCACACAAGCTCTTCTGCTAGGACAAGTGCTTCTTTTCCTGTAGTTATTGAGTTTCTCAGTTCCACTTTATTGA